AAATACACTATGTGCACATTAAATTAGAACAAATTAGCAGCTAACATTAGCTATTAGCTACATTAGCAGTACATTTGTACATGTACTGTAACCTCTGTACGCATTGACAACTCTTATTACATTTCCGAATTTTAATACAGATGAGCAGTTTTTTTTTTCTTCCACATTTGAATACCTAATTACAGACAAATTCCGGTTCACTTTGACAACTTCTTTTACACATTGACCAATCTCACTTCGGATGAATGGATTGAGATACAGACAGACAATTCTCCATATGCATGCACACATAGTTCTGCTACAGTAATGCCCCCATAGACAGCCCGACGGTGCGGCAAACTGGTAGGAGCGCTCTAGAGGCTGGTGGTCAGGAGATGGGTGGATCAGAATGAAACAAATGAAATGAAAATGAAACAGTAAACAATAAATGAAATAGTAAAAAAATATATATAATATACAATAAATGAAATAATAAACAATAAGCGAAATGATAAACAATAAATAAAATAATAAACAATAAGTGAAATAATAAACAATAAGTGAACTAATAAACAATAAGTGAACTAATAAACAATAAGTGAAATAGTAAACAATAAATGAAATAATAAAAAATAACAGAATTATTCCGTAACCTGTGCGGAACAACAACAGCACAGAATTCTAAACACTCTGCCAAAAACCTTTCGGACTCTTTTCAGAAGCTTCCTCAGAGCCTTTTTGGTCTCATGAGCTTCAGCCATCACTTCAGCAAAAAGTTCAGCAGCAGTGGACGCTTCAACTGGATCTTGATCAGCTGGAACAGCGTCATTCAGGTCAGTCGAAACGATTGTGGTTGAAGCCAAGGCGAGTGCAGCCTCATTGACATCTGCTTTTGGATGTTCTCCTGCAGAAGTTGTCCCATTTTCCAACAAGGCAGATGTCTCTGAAGCCTCAGCAACAGCTGGAACGGTGTCATTTCTGCCAGCATCAGCATTGGCCAAAGCAGCAGCTCCAGCTGAAGCTTTATCTTTACAGCAGACAGCAGGTACATTTTCAACACCTGAGCGGCTGGCAGCTGAGTGTTTGTTGAGGTTTGCTGAGGTGCCGCCTTCCTTTGCTGATTTTGCCACCGAAGAGATGCTCACAGAGGAAACTGAGACCATGTCACTGGATGAAGAATGACAACAAGTGAATGAGTAAAAGATTGAACAAATGAATCAGCCAGTTGAACATTCCATCAACTAAAACATCCAGCATCCATCCAGCCATCACTTACTGAGAGCTGCAGTCACTGTTGTCCTCTTTGCTGCGGGTCACAAACGAGTGCTTCAGAGCATCAGTTGGTGAGATTCGTTTCTGAGGATTCAGATGCAGCATCTTCCTCAGGAGACTGACAAACGGCATCTTGTCAGAAGTGTCCACATCTGGATACAGCTGCATGTGGAAACACATTTAATGGTTGTTCAAAACAGAACAGATGTTTTAAATCAGCATTTATATGTGCAGACCGTCAAGGACCACCTACCTCCACCAGCTCAGACAGACTGTTGAACCTGGTTGAGTCAGACAGAATGTGAGGCAGGAAGCCGGTCATGGCGTTGTACTCATCAGGTGTCTGGAAAACATGAGAATTTATTTGAGATTTTTTAAAAAACAACCAAAAAAAACATTAAAGCAATTGTAGGAACTTTTGCCAAATATAAAAGAATCATGTTCAGGACAGGGTTTCATACCTTGAGTGTCCATGTGTGCTCTGTGGAGTTAAAGTAGAGCAGAGTGTTGGTGCCTTCACTCAGCAGCTCATCCTCCGGCTGACCAAGAGTCTTCACCAGAGTTTTCATCTAAAGAGAGAGAATATCAGCGACATCCGCATCAAAGATACTCCAGCATCTACTTGAGTTTAAACATGAAGTTGTGCAATTAAATCCTAGAACATTCAAGGACATACCAGGTGATACTGACACCTCTGAGGGAACAGCGGGCTGCCGAGGTACATGGTGGTCAGAACAGCACCCACAGACCACATGTCTACTGCCGGGGAGATGGGAAGGCCCAGAATGACATCAGGAGACCTGAGGAAGGAGGACAACAGTCTGTGACTACAATGACTTTCTGCAGTTTTACATGTTAATGACTGTTGGTGACATGAGATCAGTCAAAGAAGACCAGAAGTCAGTGATGCTGGAAGACAAATCTTCAAACCCACATGTATCCAACAGGCTGCATGATGGAGCTGCGCTTGACTTCAGCAGCTTGGATGGCTGAGCCAAAGCCAGTGAGCTTTACTCTGATGGGCTGCAGGTCTTCCTGCTTCACCAACATCACATTATGAGGTTTGATGTTGGTGTGAATGATGCCAGCAGTCTTCAGAGAGTTGAGTGCAGAGAGCAGCTGCAGGGCCAGAAGAAGAAGCAAAAACTGAATTTGGTTGTTCAGACGTTGGCGATATGTTGATTTGATATGTTGAAAATCTGCAGGCGCTGTCTGGTGATAGAATCATCACATCCTCGTACCTGCTGTGTAATGGATCTGATGACATGAAGTGAGAGAGGTTCTCTATGTCTCTCCCTCAGCAGCTCATCAAGACTCTTGTCCAGCATTTCAAAAACTAGACAAGTGTGTCCTTTGTGTTGAAGGCGCTCGTAGAAGCGAACAACGTGGATGGGATCAACACATCTGAGCTTTCTCAGAACGGCCAGCTGGAGAGAAAACAGAAGACGTTAGACGATGATGATGCAGCTCAGTGACAGTTCATGTTAACGATGTGATGAAATGTGTGAGACAGACTCAGGATCTACCTCTCTGCTGGGCCGCCGTGAGTCACTGGTCCTCTTATTGAATATCTTGATGGCCATGGTGTCTTTGGTATCCATCATTCTGCACTGAGCGACTTCGCTAAAGCGGCCGCGATACCTGAAGCTCACAAACTTGTAATCGGTGATGATGCCGGTCAGCAGGTCCCAGGTTTGGAAATCTGAGTTGTCAGGTCCTGATGCACAAACACGGAGACACAAATGTGTTAAATCATCACAATCAGTCAACACATCAGGGACAAACACACAACTATCCATCCATCCATTATCTATACACCACGTAATCCTCACTAGGGTCGTGGGGGGCTGGAGCCTATCCCAGCTGACTTAGGGTGAAGGCAGGGGACACACAACTAATACTGATGATTTCCAGAATATTGAAATGAGGACCATCCGTCAGAAGATCACAAATACAACAGCGATGAGCGAAAACAGCAATGAAGTCAAAGCAGATCACTGATACTGTTGAAGTTTTTAAGGTTGGCCATTTTAAAACTGAATGTATCCTGACTGAGTTGAAGCTCAGCTGGAGGCGAGTCTTTCTCTTGTTTTGTTTTTTAGTTTTATGTTCAGTGGACCAGAGTGCACAGACTGCTCCTTTATAGGTTAAAAAAAAAACTCTTACACACAAACAAACTTATCCTCAGCTTCACCAAAAACTACTTCATATAAATTTGATCACAAACAGTCGCTAAACACGACTTATGACCACATATTTGAACACTTACTCTTGAGTATCCATGTTTTCTCACACCACACATTACATGAGATCATGTTGGTGTTTCAGTGTCTCTCACCTGTTGGACTTGAGGATCCTGGCAACTGCAGATTTGGGGTTTTGAGGATTGAAACGGACATGTTTAAATGTCAGGTTTGGTCAAATCAAAGCACTCTGCAGCGCAGATCAGCTGTGGTTTCCGTGTCTCCTGTGTGAACAGATGAACCTGAGATGAGTTGAGGTCCCTTCTTATAGACCTGTGGTTCCTTCATTCCATTCAGTGACACCACAATGAAGAGTTCTGCAATCCCACTGATCAGATTAGTGTGAAAAGATTATCTGGCTGCCACATGTATTGTTTCAGCATTGATATGCTGATGTGTTTATGCAGAGTGGTCACAGGATGTCACATGACCTACTGGCTGGCAAATTACCTCAAACACATCCGACTACAACTGTTTGATTTGCTTGATTCAACACGAAAACTTGCACAACTCTCATTTTCCATAACTAAGCTACAAGAGAAGTCAGTCCAGAGTGTTTTATAATGTCAGGGAATTAACTTAGAGCTCAGGTAACTATAAAGATCAGAAAGTGACTGAAAGTAGAGAACACAGGAAACAACTGTATACGCACAAAACATTTATTACTAACTAAAGCAAACAAATAACAAACATAAAACATAAAATACAAACGATGATGAGAATGCTGAGTGAGACTCTGACAGTGAGAAACCGGATGTGGATCAGAAGTGTGACCTGGAGACTTGGAAAGCCTTTCCCCCGAAAGCAGCAGATAAAACTGTTCAATTTGGAAGGTTTGTTTAAGGCCAAATGTAAATTTTTTTTTCTTAATTGAGCTTTTACAAATAACACCACATGAGAGTTTACACAATCATACAAAACACAAGACAAACATCAAATACGTTGGATGTGCAACAATGTATGTAAATATATAGGATGAAAAAGAAAAGGAAAAAAAATATAAGTATGCATATATACATGCACACACATAAAATAGTACGGAAAAAAATATTTAAAATAAAATTAAAAAATCAAATGATCATATTGCCACCAAAGGAAGACAGAAGGCAAAGCAACAGAAACAGCACTGATACCAGCGCTAACAGTCGTTCACATGATATCAGAAATCAAAGCCATAGCAAGGTGGCAACAATGAAATCAGTAATAACAACAATTATTATTATCATTATTTCCATCATCACCATCACTATCGTTACCTCAGCTGGGAAACCCCCATCCCCACCCCCCACCCTAGACCACCCCACCCTCCACCCAGCACTCAGTATATCACCTGTCCCCACCCGCATGCCACACCTAAGCTATGATTGAATTAGATTGTGCTGACTGTGTGGGCTTTATTCGAAGCTAGTGTGATGCAAAGCATTGGTCAATGAGCGGTCCCGGCAAGCGTCTGAGCAGGGGCTCCTCACTAGGACCTTCCTTTCCCGTTTTATTTTCTTCATCTATTTTTCTTTAAATGTATTTATTTATTTGTTTTTACATATATACCTCCACCTGGAGTTCATCTTCATTTCCTCTTATTTTTTAATTTTTATTTATTTTCCTTTTTTCCCCCTCTTTTTTCTTTTCTTTTTCTTTCCCTCCCTTTTTGCTTCCACTTCCCTCCTCCTTGTATTATTTATGTATTTTTTTGTTTGTGCTTTTTTACAGAAACCTGACACAAAAGAAAGAAAGAAAGAAACAAACAACCAAAAAGTAGTTACCCAGAAATGTGTTGGATGTAGTGGTGTGTGTGTGTGTGTGTGTGTGTGAGGGGGTGAGAAAGGTGTGTGGCGTTTTGAATGTTGTGAGAGAAGAAAAAAAAAACATTTTTATTACTAACTAAAACGAACAGAAAACATAAAATACAAATGATGATGAGAATGCTGAGTGAGAAACCAGATGTGGATCAGAAGTGTGGCCTGGAGACTTGGAAAACCTTTAGCAGATAAAACTGTTAAATTTGGATGGTTTGTTTAAGGCCAGTTGTAATGTTGAAGCACCCGTTTAGAGAGAGAAAACTCAATACTTACAGTTTCCTGGAGCGGGTGCAGCGACGTCTCGTGTTGGGAGAGACGAGGCCTTCAGCTTCAGTTGGATCAGGGTGTTGCAGTTGGAGTCAGTAACAAAAGGAGACCAAAGTGGGAGATTCTGGGGCCCGTAGAAAACCTGTCTGTCTTTCAGGTGAATGGCTTTTTAATAGTAAGATAGCTGACCAATCACAAAGAGCTCCCCTCCCAGAGGGGGTGTTAGATTGTACTTTCTCCCCATTGTCCATGCTGATTCTTCAGAGGGGGGGCAGGACGGGCGGGAGCGCAACATGCATTCACCCAGATGTCTGTTTCCATACCACCACTGGGCTGCTCAGGCTCTTATCTGTAAGCTGCCCTTTGAAGCTCTCGACGGTGTGATCAGTTGATGTCCGACTTCTCGTGACCTGGCTTGACGATGTCAGCCGAGGCTCCGGCCCATCTGATCAGTCCATTTACCACTTCTTGTGACCTGAGCTGGAAAGTTCTGTGTCCCTTTGGCATCTGTGTCTGTTCATATCCTACAACTACTTCCTGCTTGTTTCTTGTCTGCTTCTTTTCTCTGACCTCTCTATGCGGAGCCTCAAAATGGGGTCTTTGAACATTAATGTTGGCAGAGACAGGCACAAAAGGGCTTTATTATCTGAAGTCTCCTCTCAAAAGAAGACTGATGTATTGTTTCTGCAGGAGACACATGCAGATCCAAGAGATGAGCTAGACTGGAGCTTATGGTGGGAGGGTCCGTGTGCCCTTAGCCATGGCAGCCGTCACTGTGCAGACTGACATATGTGCTGTTATATGGATTGTAAATACAGACACGGGAGGCAGGTTACAGAAACAAAAAGCAAATTTTAATGACTGAAGTTGGAATAAGGGTAACATTAGTCCACAAGATTAAGCAACAAAACACAGGCAAAGGTTTGCCAGAAATCTTAAAGGCAACAAAAACATGGGAAACAAACTGAATCAATCAGAATCAGAATCAGAATCAGAAGCTTTTTTATTGCCAAGTGAGCGTACACACACAAGGAATTTGCAGTGATGAACGAGACTGATGCATAACAATAACAAGACAAGAATAAATATAGAAATCAAAAGTATTAAAGTACTACGTAATAAAAAGTACAATGAGAAGAGAAATAAGCTAAGTAATAAATTAGGAAACAAATTACAATACAGTATTGCACCTGAAGTTGAGGAATTGCACATGTAACGGTGATGCACAGAGGAGTGCAACGGGAATTTTTAGTGGTTTCCTGACTGTTCAGGGATCTGGCCTGAGGGAAGAAGCTGCTCCGGTTCTGGGATGTTCTGGTGCTCAGAGACCTGAAGCGCCGGCCGGAGGGTAGCAGGTCAAAGAGGTGATGACCTGGGTGGGAGGGATCCATGAGGACTTTTCCTGCCCTTTTCCTCACTCTGGAGAAGTACAGGTCCTGGAGGGGGGGCAGGGGGGCACCAATGATCCTCTCAGCAGTCCTGACTGTCTGTTGCAGTCTCCTCATGTCTGATTTGGGGAGCAGAACTGAACCAGACAGTTAAAGATGAGCATAGGACTCAATGACTGCTGAGTAGAACTGTTTCAGCAGCTCCTGTGGCAGGTTGAACGTCCTCAGCTGGAGGAGGAAGTTCAGTCTCTGTTGGGCCTTCTTCACCACAGAGTCTATGTGGGTCTCCCATCTCAGGTCCTGGGAGATGGTCGTGCCCAGGAACCTGAAGGACTCCACAGCGGCCACAGTGCTGTTCAGGATGGTGAGGGGGAGGGGTGCAGGGGTTCCTCGTAAAGTCCACTGTCGTCTCCACTGTTTTGAGCGTGTTCAGCTCCAAGTTGTTGTGACTGCACCAGACAGCCAGCTGCTCCGCCTCCACTCTGTAAGCAGACTCGTCACCGTCCCACAGTGGTATCGTCTGCGAACTTCAGGAGCTTCACAGAGGGGTGTAAGGAGGTGCAGTCATTGGTGTACAGGGAGAAGAGCAGTGGGGAGAAAACACATCCGTGGGGGGCACCGGTGCTGATGCTGCGGGTGCTGGATGTGAAGTTGCCCAGTCTCACCTGCTGCATCGTTGCCTCGCAGCTAGAAGGACACCGGTTGGTGCCCCAGTGGGGGCACCGAGATCTTTCTGCGTGGAGTCTCCATGTTCCCCCCGTGCAGCGTGGGTTCTCTCCGGGTTCTCCGGCTTCCTCCCACACAGTCCAAAAACATGTTGAGTTAATTGGTGATTCTAAATTGTCCGTAGGTGTGAATGTGAGTGTGCTTGGTTGTCTGTCTCTAAGTGTAGCCCTGTGATAGACTGGTGACCTGTTCAGGATGTTCCCTGCCTTCACCCTGAGTCAGCTGGGATAGACTCCAGCCCACCATCACCCTAGTGAGGATTAAGCGGTGTTTAGATAATGAATGGATGGAAATTTCTTTGACCTCTTACCTTTAACATCTGAGCCAATTTAAATAGAGCAGCTCATTTGATGCACTCCTCAAAATCAGCCCCAAACATTAAAGCAAGAAAGTCCAAGGAGCTAAGCATAGATCTACAAAATGTAAATCACTGACTTTAACAAGTCAGGAAACTTAAGAGTCATTTCAATGCAGCTTCAAATCCCAAAATCAACTGTGCAAATACCTGCAAACACAGACTAATTGGTCACGATAGTCGAGAGTCAACCAAGAATCACCAAAAAGCAGGTCTGCAATGAATATAAAGCTGCTGGAACACAGTGTTTTACATCACAGGAGCTGAGAGGCTTTCCTGGAGAAGGAAGTTCTTCCTCTAGAAGTAGAACCTTAAAGCTCCACTGAAGTTTGCTGGTGATCACATGGACAAAGAAAAGGTCTTCTGGAGGAAAGAAAAAAGAAATCGCTATTTGGCCACAATGACCAGAACTATGGAGGAAAGAAGGTGAGGGCTTTAACTCCAAGAACACCAAACCTACCTTCAAGCATGGTGGTGGCAGCATTATGCTCTGGGGCTGTTTTGGTGCCGGTGGAGCTGATGCTTTACACAAAGTAAATGAAATAACGAAGGAGGAGGAAGACCTCCACATTCTTCAGGAAAACCTAAAATCATCAGCCAGAAGGTTGGCTCCTGGACACAGCTGGGTTCCAACAAGACAAACACCCCAAACACACATAAGAAGTGGTAAAGAAATGGCTAACTCAAGTTAGAATTAAGGTTTTACACTGGTCTCTCCAAAGTCATGACTTAAACCCTGTAGACTGTGATGAACAAGTGTGGGGAGGAAAGTCAACAAATTTAGTTAAACTGCACCAGTTCTGTCCAGAGGAGTCAAAGATACAACAAGATGCTTGTAGATGGCTACCAAAACGCCTAATGGAGGTGAAAATGGCCAAAGGACATCAAATATTAGCATTGCTGTATGTGTATTGATGGTCGGGCACATTTTGCCATATTTCAAGAAGACCTATAATCAATCTATAAAAGAACCAAAATGCAAGACTGATCCTGACAGAGATGCATGTGTTTCAATGATTCAGTCATACAAAATTAAGAGTTATAGAAGTAATTGGAAACCCAAGACGGTCATGATGTACATGGGCTTTACAACTCTGTGGAAATTTTTGTTTACGATTGTAAAACCTCGACTTTGCAGCAGCCAGAAAGTCCCACCTGAGGATCTGAGGCTGCAAGCTGCCTCACATGGGATCAACATTCCCCTGATGTAGCTTGTAACCAGACCAAGATGATGATCAGTAAAATCTAAAAGTTGATATTAAAAGGAACATGGATCCAAAGGAGAGAAGCCAGGATTGGAGCGAGGCAACGAGTCGAGCTGCTGAATTCTGAACTAGTTGGAGGACTTTTGGAATCACTGGACTCAAAGCTGGAGAAAACACTTACATGGACGACTGTTTCTAAGTCAGAGTGTGAGAGCTTTAGTTTAACTCTAAAGGCGACATCTTCTTCTTTCCCACCCTGCTGTTTGTGCTTCTCCTCAGATTTAACATGTGACTCTTTGAAGAATCAGTTGGAAAAACTAGATTAAAGCATCAGCACCTTCAGCTATAACAGGTAAAGCCAAGTTTGTATCCATGCGTCAATATTACGTATCTAATGGTGTCAGCTTTAATAATATATTAGCCACAGGGGACATTTTCAAATAAAATAAGTGATTTTCTTTGATTTACTGAGTATATTTTGGTGTATTTGCTAAACTAAAAGTCACTTGTGACATCTACCACTGCTCCCTGCTATTTTAAAATTATAAATTGTTTTTAATTTGCTGTGGCATTTACAATAATATAATACAAGATATTTTATTTGTTATTTGTGGCTCGCTTTTCTGTTTGATACAATATTTTATTCATGTCTCGCTCTGATCTTGGCCTTTGTGTGCTTGATGTTGAAGTTTCATGTGGTTCAAAATTGTGCTCATAATGATTCCTGAAGCAAATTTTACAGCTGGGTTCCTGCCTGTCCACTTGTAATTCATTTCTCTCTCCACACGGCGGCGCAGTCAGACTGTTTCTGTAGCAGGGAGAGGCTGAAAGAGCCACTAAAACAAAACAAAAAAAAACTCAGAAAGACAGACATCTCCTTCATTTGCATTTTTATAATTTATTAAGATCCCAGCAGACACTTAAAAAAAAGAGCAAAGTTCTTTTTTTTTTTTTTTACTGAATGGCATCTATTGTGTAAAAGCAGACTTCCATTGCATGAATATCCTTCCTTCAAGAAAAGAAAGGGTGGTATTTGTTGAATATTTCTGTTTTCTGGTGGATTATAGTGACTTAGTGGCATCTCCACACATCTGTCCTCCTCATTGTTCTCCTGTGAAATCTGCATCCTCCAAAACTGTCACTGAAAACCACAGCTCTGTTTGAGTCCTGTCAGTACATTCACATGTCGTCCTTAATACTTGTTTTTTGTGGATCTTTTAAGAACCGTCACTGCTCACTCGATGTAAGCCGTGCGCTTCTCCCTCTGGAGCTTTGAGCGCACCGTTGCTCTGCATCTTCCCTCTGCGGCTGAAGATGTAATTAACCAGAAAAACCAGCAGCACAATGAAAAGCACCGTGCAAACTATAATTCCCACCAGTCCTCCCACTGTCACCCCCGAAGGCTTCTTTGTTGGACCCGGAAAAGGCACAAAAAGCGTCGTGGGGACGTTTGGAGCTGTGGTCATACCGGAGCCCTCCACACCTCCGTCCCCATCCTCGTCGTCGTTTTTTACGCACTTGTATCCATCCACGAGTGTATATCCAGAAGAGCACATGCACACGTAGCCGCCAAACGTGTTCTTACAGTCCTGGTCGCAGAAATAGGAGGAACACTCGTCCATATCTATGCAGAACGTGTCGCGACCTCTCTCCTCGGCGACGTAACCCGCCGGACAGTAGCACTGGGAGCTGTCGTTGGGGTCGCACTCCGCTGGGCACTCCTCCTTCCCGCAGTAAAGCTCGCACTTATTCGGTTCCGTCAGGGTCACTCTGTATCCATCATAACACGAGCACTTGTAGCTTCCAACGGTGTTGGTGCACACGTGTTCACACGGCGCGGACACGCACTCGTCCTCGTCGACGCACAGCGTGCCGCTCGCCTTGTATCCAACCTTGCAGACGCACTGAAACCCGCCGAGGGTGTTTACGCACCTGAAGTTCTCCCCGGGACACTGTCGTTGGTCGGTGCAGTCGTTGAAGTCCACGCACGACCGGCCGTCCGCGGCAAGCTGGAAGCCGTGGTCACACGTGCACGCGTACAAGTCTCCCTTCTGGTAGCAGGCGTGCTGGCAGCGCAGGGCCGCGCACGGGTCGTCTGCGATGTGCACCTCGCAGGTGACTTTGTTTTTCGGGTTGACGGTTTGTCCCGCCGGGCAGTAGCAGGACGGGACGTTGTTGGGGTCCACTGCGCATTTATATTCACAGCCTCCTTCCATAATCTCGCAGCTCCAGGGCGCCGGCAGCCACTTCTCCAAGAAACACATGTATTTAGTCTCAGATGGCATCCGGACCGCGGTGCTTCCAGGCGGCAGTGACAGCACATCTTCGCCCCCGAAACCCATCGGAGTCATATAGGTGACGGACTCTCTCGGTGCAGCCGCCAGACTTTTGCACGGCTGACTAAAGCTCTGCTCGCAGAGAAACCCGGCCGCGAGTTCCACGCATGGATCCTGGATCCATTTAAAGTCATCTTCCTTGGAAACTGACACGCAGCGATGAGAGGAGCAGCTGCTGTCAAAAGCTGGTAGCCAGTTGGAGAAGTCGCTCTCGGCGTCATCGGTCACCCACTGGAAGCCCTTCAGCGCCGCGGCATCGTCTGGGCAGCCGCTCAGTCGATGTAAACCGATCCAGAACTTGCCCGTAAAGTTTCCCAACAAGATGAACAGAATATCATGTGACACCGAGGAGCGCACTGTCATTAAATGACCGCCTTGGTCTTTACATTCATTTTGCGCACTTTGGAAGCTGCATGGGCCTCTGAACACCATGAAACACTGGTTCCCGATGCAGTAACCGCTATCCGGCTTGATCCCGCCGGCTGCCCCCGTTAGGAAAACCAACACTCCGACCAACAGCCCTGTAACATGATTCATGTTTGCGCCCGATTGTGTCCGTTTAAGTTCTTGCGAGTCCCAGCAGTCTATAGGGTTGTTTGTTTGAGAAGCTGTTTTGCTCGTATTTATAACCCCCCGACTCCATATTAGTGCCCCAGCGGAGGAAGGAAGTCGCTCTTCAACTGCCAGCTGTACCGCTGTCTCTCAACTCCACACTCTTCTGCGCGGCGGACCACATCCCTAATTACGCACGGCTTTTACGCGCCTACGCACCGAGGCTGCGCGCACGCAAGCGGGCTTTTACCCAACGCCCCCCTGTTTGCAGTAGTCCCTCCCAACTCCAGTCTGGACAACAAAGCTGTGACATGAAGTCTTGTAGTCCTGCGGTCACACTTACAGCACAATTTTTCTTCATGGGAGTTTCACTTACTTTTGATATTTTCTGAATATAAACGGCATTAAATCACAAAATAAGGCAGAATGAGAAAGAATTTGAAAATATGTTTGCTTTAACTTTAGACAAAACTTAAACGCAGCGTTGCAGAACGTTTTGCTTGCTCTTAAAATGTATAAAGACAAATATTATCCCTGTACTGTGCAAGATATGATACAGAATCTAGAAAAAGAAGAAAACTGATGAACTGAATGAATATTGCTACAAATCTTTGCCACAGGCACAAATCCTAGCTGGGAATATAGTCAGCTAAATGCCTTAGAAGCAATATAAATGTAAGTTAAAAAAAACAACTTCTCTGTGTATCACATCAAAGTTTGCAGGAGAAATGGATGAAACAGCAGCTGAAATGTCATTTAAACACAGTTTCGCAGCAAATTCTTTCACTGAATTCTGCACGGAAAAAGTTTCTGTATGCGCCACAAAAATGCAAAACAAAATCACAATATAAATCATTTAATATGGACACACACAAAAAAACAAAGAACAAAATCAAACTGCAACAGGTGAAAGCTTGCTGTGAGCCTGTTTTACAGAGTGGCTGAACATATCAGAACGAGGTGCAAATGTGTCTCCACAGCAGGTTCTGTTTTCTATAAACTTGAACCGTAGCAGCACAGTTTTACATTCATGTTGAACCGATCAGTCGAGATCAGTCTGTTATACAGTATTAATAACATTTAACTCAGTGTTTAAAGGCCAGTGGGAGCTGTGTGCAGTCAGCATTAATAGTGAACATGGCAACAGGAACGCAAACGTTTTGAAGCATGTAGACAAACTATACTGGAGTTCTATTGATATCTAAATGAGCTCTGTTGGATGTACACTCAGGAACAGTCATTTAGCTGTTCATTCGTCATACAGTGTTTTTTTTTTTGTTGGCACAAATTATACCACAAAGAGTCACAGTATAATGTTCAGTGAGACGACTCGAACGGAGAAACTATCATTTCTGACTTTATAATCAACCCAGTCAGTCTGTAATCGTGCAAAGCAACGATTTACCTTATTTAGATGGTTTTTAGGGAGTAGTTTGTCTTAGGTGTCATCACGATGTGGCTAAACCTTGACGGATAAAAGCTTCAAAATGAGAAAACAGTGTCTCAAATGTCACGAACATAAACCGCTGAATGTTTCACGAGCAAACATCCGTCACAGTGAATCATTATCACACCGGTAAATAATGAGCTTTTGACTAAAGAGAACATTTTTTTTGCTCCTTTTCTTCACACTGAAAGTTTAAAGTGTGACAAAAGGTAAAAACTACAAGTAGTTCATGAACAGTATGTATGATGACCAACATGTTACATTCGAATCTTGTCACTGATCTGAAAACAACAACAAAATGAAATATAGTTTAGATTTTGTGGGAAAATGTATTGTAATGAGAGAAATTGACCATATTAACTTTTAGTACCTTTACTACTGGACTTTTTTTTCTGTTAAACTGCATCTTATCCTTCAAATAGTACTTAAAAATTGGCCTATAATTGAGGAGAAGGTGGTTATAATTCTATGTAGAAGTCTACTGAAGGAAGCATTGAGCTGTTTCCCTTCAAAGTCCCACATTTCCACTAATGTGCAGTGATGTATACTGTGACTTTACAGCAGCTATGTGATTTACTGCAGCTTTAAGGAGTCCCATGCTGTGGGTTTGACGCCTCTCTGGAGAAAAAAACAGTGTTCGAGACTGGAGTGGAAGCCGAACAAACACACTGTCCATCCACAGTGATGCGATTAAAGTCTCTGCGAGTCATTTTTAAACTGTTTGTCGAAGGATAACCTCTTGTACGTCTCCGTGGTCACCTGCTGCAGGTAGAAAATATCGATATCTGGATGTTTGAGGGAGGAAAGCTGAAATTTCCCACAACGCCTGAATGCGTTTCGGATCAGGAAGCACAGCAGCCCCAAACACAGCAGCAGGAACAGGGTGATGCCCAGGATGCTACCTGTCTTGATGTAGGAGGGCAGTGGAGCTGAGTGACCGCTGGCCGGCCTGCTGGCAGGAGTGAAGAAGGACTCGGTGGAGCCTGATCCACCCTCATCCGGCTCATACAGGGGGACACACTTGTATCCATCCTGCAGCTTGAAGCTTTCATTGCACAAACACCTGTAACCACCGAACAGATTTTCACACTTGTGTTCGCACATGATCTGGTTTTCACATTCGTTTATGTCAGTGCAGATGGCTGTGCCTTCCCCGATGTCTGTTATGTAGCCATCAGGGCAGAAGCACTGCTGCATGTTCTTCTTCTCCTGATCAGGGTTTTTCACGCATTTGGCTGGACAGTCTCTCTCAGTGCAGTGCTGCTCACACTTGGTGGGGTCCTGGGGTGACACCCTGAAGCCCTTCCTACAGTCACACTGATAAACCCCATCGATCTTCGGACAGATCATCTGCTCACACAGCCCGCAGATTGTTATATTCACACACATCCCATCCTCAAAGACGAAGTCCTCTTGGCAGATGCACATGAACCCTCCACTGGTGTTCTCGCACTCCTCACCTTCAGCTGTGCACGGATCATCCTCCTCGCATTCGTTTATGTCCTCGCAGCTCTTCCCGTCCTGCGCCAGCCTGAAGCCTTTAGGGCATTCTGGCGCATGGATGGCCCCCACCTGTAGACACCCTTGCGCACCGTCTGCACACGGTTGCTTGGTGCAGCTGATGTTGTTGGGATGGAGGATTTGACCCTCGGGACAGGTGCAGGTTTGTGTTTCGGAGCTGCAGTTAAACTCACAGCCGCCGTTCAGCACCTCACACGGCCAGGGAGCTGGCAGCCAGTTCGCAGAGGAACACAGGTACTTGGAGGCCGGAGGTTCACCGTCAGCGTCTCTCTTTACAGCCGTGGTTCCCGCTGGAAACGCGTCCGAATCGGCCACAGCCAAGCCACTGAACGTGGTGTAGGTTATCTGTGCGCCTCCGAGAGTCTGCAAGCGACTGCAAAAACCGTCGCGTACAAAGTCGCACAGAAATCCGTTGAGTTTGTCTCGGCACGGCTCCCACGACACGGTGACGTTCAGTCCCGGCGTCACGAAGACGGAGGGGCACGTTTGGATCCCTTCCGCAGCTTCCTCGCTTTTCTTGTCGGGTCTTTGCAGCCAGTATTTACCGTCAAACGCGCCGGCGATACTCTCCAAAATGTTTTCTTCGGAGCTGAACCTCAGTAACTCTCCACCCGACTCTTGGCATTCTTTCACTGCGCCGTCAAAGTCCACGGCAGCTTGAAAAACGCAAAGATCTCCTGCGCAATATCCCAGCCGAGACAGGAGCGCTTCCTCCAGCCGGCAGAGGAAAAACAGACAAAAAAGCAGCGTCGGGGTCCTTGGATTCATGGTGTCGATGTTGGACAGGCTTCGGATTGTGACCTGTGATGGTGGGAAGCTTCGTGTTTGACGATCAGAAGCTGACAGAGCGACTGAAAGCTGAACATAGTCCCCATTTATAAAAGCCGCAAACTGGAGTTTTCCTTTTTTTTCTTTGTTGGATCAGTGTAGGGAGGAAGTTCCGTCCTGGTCAGGGTCTGATTGCTCAACCCCCTACGCTGTCCAAATGCCTTATCTCAAAGAAAACGAGCCCATCAAAACACGCACACACATGCGCGCACGGGACGCACCAACTTTAATAAGAGGAGGATAAACCAAATCCCATAATCCTCCCCTCGGAGTGAGCGACTCTCCCCTGTCCCGATCCACAGGATAAAGTCAAAGTTTAGATCTCACGGGAAGAAAAGAAATCACATGTAAGGTTAAATATTTAGCATTTTAAATATATTATATTGTCACCATTTGATATTTTTTAAAATGTAAAATGTTAATAAACTTCCTGACAAACTTGTAGGGGAAACAGTTATTGTCCATCTTATGTTTTTTTTTTTTTCTTTTTAATTTTTTTAACTGATCGTAAAATAACTGCAGGAGAAAAGGGAAATGAAGACAATTAAGATCAGCTGATAGGCTGGGAGCAGGAATGTATGAGAAGTGGTCAAAGTGTCAGTTATTAAAGTCGACATCTGATTAAAGTATGAAGGGAAATGTAAATGATATTTGGCACAAAATAACAAAACAAAAGACAGGAATGTACTTCCAACACTTTCCAGTGAAAGTTTTGATCCACTTACAGATGAAACTTAAACCTTTAGTCTGTTTGTAAAATCTAACATTCATACGTTGTTAAAAGTGAACTTTTGTCTTTCTTTTTCCCCCCAATAGTTTTCACGTTCTCACACTGCTTACTTATACTCATTTTTTCGGTGTGAAAAAATATTGAATATCGACATCGGTAATATCGGTTATCGGCAATATCAGAAATATTAATACTGGATATCGGTATTGGCCAGAAATGTGAATATCGTGTATCGCTAGTTGTACCGTATTGAAGTTGTGTGACTATAAAATGTTGCTGTTTTACTGTATTATACTACTACTTACTCCATTTTGTCCTTTTTACAATTTTGGAATATTACAATAAACCACCATTTAATATATATTTTTTCTGGCAGATTTTCAGAATTAAAAAAATCTTATTCTTGTTATTTTTACATCGTAGCACATTAAACATGTAAACTTTATAGGTTAGCATGTCCTTGATATATTTTGTTCTCCTTGCCCTGAAAAATCAGCATCGCAGCGTTAAATAGAATTGGAAATTAAAAACTTTTACCTTCAGCTGAGTAATTTTTATTATAATTTTTTTTTACCTTGTGTTAAGGTAGAACTATAAACTATACCTAATAATATAAACCTGATCAACTCTAAGAAAAGAACTTCTTCCAGGAGAAACTGACTCATGGACCTGGAAGGTAGACGAAGGTCCCAAAGGTAACGAGAGGAACTGCAGAGTCGAGACACAATTGTCTGATTTATGTTTAATCTAAATCAGTCATCATTATTAGATCCGTAAATATAGCTGCTTTCCTGAAGTTCGAAGGAGGAAGTGGGAAGTAGGAAGAAAAGGGCTGAGCAGACTTCCTACATACGACAGGATGCAGAAACAAAACGTGATTACATTATATAAACTCTCTCTGTACGATCTCATGCCTGAGCTGCTCAGTTTCCAGTTGGAGTTCTGATGTGACGAGCAAAAGAATGTGATCATATCTGATTGATTCCCTCCCAGAGTGACACATGGTGACTCAGTGGACCCAATTAGTGGTGAAATATGTTTCAGTGCAGTTGCATATAGAGTCACGAGGATTTTATTATGTAAAGGAGTTTCCTCTGAAGTTGAATTTGTGTTTGGAAACCTTAAAAACTGTCTTATCGCTCTTATTTCAGGCGTTTATGACACAGTGAGAAACCACGTCGAATCCACAGGGGTGAAAAACTCGACGCTGCTTCAGTGGCTCCTTATTTCCCCTCATGAAGCGGGTGTGGTGGGATGGAATGGGGTGGAGGGGATGTGACAGAGGAAAAGGAATCCTTTGTTCACGCTGTGAAAACAAAATAATCAGCCGAGTGTTTGTATTTGAGTTGTGAATGTTCGATTTAAAGATTCTGACCTTTGCCCAGGACGCCCAGCGGCGGGTGGCATGGATTTTATCCAACACAGCGACAAACACTTCTGTGTGATTTCAACACAAAGTCGGCTTGGCGACAAAAACCAGGAAAGTCGGCAAATATTTTCTCTGATATCTATCTTTAATGACTGCACTTAGTTTGCCCAGGGGAGCCGTCGAGATGTGCCTCCAAACTGTTTGGTTTGCCCTAAATCAAAGCCTGATCTGGCCAGTCTTGACTTTTATTTTGTTTTTACAGTCAAACCATGTGACGGACTCATTCTGACTTGATGTGAGCGCCACGAACAACATCCTCAGTACGGACACGTCCATAGTTGTGATACTGTTCAAGTGGTCGGATTGAACCAGGATCATTTCCTCCAGTAATGTAGTTAAGTGCAATTTTATGGTTCTTTACTTGTTGCATTTCCATGTCATGCTACTGCACGCGATACTTCAGCTCCTCTACATTTTAGATGCCAATAACACCATAGAAAGCAATCAAATATGCTCAACCTGCAGTGCTGCACATTACTCTTCAATTAACTGCTTTGGCTATGAATTGTCACAAAACAATGAAAGCTAAAGATGACTCATGTCATTCATTCATTTTCATCACTTTCAACCTTCTTCTGCACAATAACTCTAGAAAGATATTTCACCATGTTGAATGCGTCTTTCAACAACCTGCACCTCTGTATACTCTGTGAGCCGTTCTACATCTGTCTGATTCATCACGTGTGTTTTATTTTCCTCTCAGTCTCTAATTTGTTTCTCTACTTGTCTTCCATCAGCTCTGTATAAGCGGTGCCTGCAGTTCAGCCGAGAAGTCACAGAACTTTTGTCGGTCTTAATTGCATTGAGTTTGTTTTATTTTACAGGATCTGGTCTATTTTTGGTGAAACTTTCGAATGAGACACGTAGAGTGAAGTGATTTTGGTGAAATTTCCAATTAAATGCTTGGATTTGGTTAATTTTCCTCGTGGAACATCAGGTGACAGGTGGTTCACTTGAGGACAATCGGAAAGTTAAAAATACAATCAGTTTTTACAGTTTCTTGCTCTGATACGTTTTGGAATTTTGGAGAATTTCTAAAAGACAGTCTAACTCACAGATTGGTTTTGGGGTTTGGAAGCTTAAATTGCAATTTTTTCATCACATGGGGCTGCAAGGTGGAGCAGTGGTTAGTAGAGTTGCCTCACAGCCAGAAGGTTGCCGGTTCA